CACGCTGACTCAGGGCTGCGGGTGCCAAGTTGCCCCTTGCCCAGCCCGTGATGGGCTGGAGACTGATTTGGAGTCAGGCTTGATGGCCGAGACAGGTTGGCAGGTCCCTGGCACGGTCCCCATCTCGGTCCCCAGCCCATCCCCTCCGGATCGTTCGCCATCGCTCGTGACCGCGACCGGGAAGGGTGGTGACAGGCACGCGCCGGTTTAATGGGTCACAGCGTGACGGGGACACATTTAATGGGGTCTGGACTCGGTGCCGGCACGGGACCGGCGTTGATTTCCCCCGAGGATGCGTGGCCTGGATGCGCGCCGCAGCACCGCTGCATGGCTGCAATCAGCCCAGTGCCCATGGCAGCTCCCAGTGCCCAAACTGGGGCCTCCCCATTTCCTCGGAGACCCCAGACGGAGCAGCTTTGCGGGGTAGGTGGGTGGCCAGTGTGAGTGTGGGGCACACCATCCACCACAACACCCCACGGGGGATGGAGGGACATTGGGACACGTCCCTCCGGAGCAGCGGTCCACAGCGGAGGGGGAAAGTGGGGAGGGGGAAAGGAAAGGCCATGAGGAGCCTCGTGGGGTCCACGGGGAGGGGGACAAAGCCCAGCAGGGAGAGGGGACAAGAGGAGGAACGGGAGGGACAGATGGACAGAGAGGAGGGTGTGTGCAATGGGATGGAGGGACAGATGGACAGGCAGATGGGTGGATGGATGGATGGATTGATGGGTGCAGGAATGAAGTGACAGATGAGTACGGAGAGACACTGGGAGGGATGGAGGATGGATGGATGGATGGATGGATAGATGGATGGATGGATGGATGGAATGACAGACAAACAGATATGCATGAGAGATGCATGTACGAATGGACAGCTGGACAGACGGATGAGCGGAAAAACAGGCAGACAAATAGATCCACACTGGGGTGGGTGGAAGGATGGGGAGATAGAGGGATGGACAGGTGGAAGGATGGAGAGATAAGGATGGATGGATGGAGGGATGGAAGGATGGAGGGATGGATGGATTGATGGAAGGATGGATGGAGGGATGGAGGGATGGAAGGGTGGAATGACACACAAATGGATAAGCAGTGAGATAGATGCATGGATGAACGGACAGCTGGATAGATGGATGAATGGAACAACAGGCAGATAAACAGATACACACCGGGGTGGATGGAAGGATGGGGAGATGGAGGGATGGATGGATGGATGGAAGGATGGAAGGATGGAGAGATGGAGGGATGGATTGGTGGAGGGACGGATGGAAGGATGGAGGGATGGACAGATGGAAGGTTGGATGGGTGGATGGATGTTCCCGGCTCAATGCCAGCCCCTTACCTGTGTCCTGCCGGAACTGGTGCATGGACTGGAGGTCGATGACGTAGGGCGCCAGCTGGACGTCGACCTGGCCCAGCACCACACTGCCACGGGCGTCCTCCTTCAGCACGTTCTCGAGGATGGAGGGACATTGGGACACGTCCCTCCGGAGCAGCGGTCCACAGCGGAGGGGGAAAGTGGGGAGGGGGAAAGGAAAGGCCATGAGGAGCCTCGTGGGGTCCACGGGGAGGGGGACAAAGCCCAGCAGGGAGAGGGGACAAGAGGAGGAACGGGAGGGACAGATGGACAGAGAGGAGGGTGTGTGCAATGGGATGGAGGGACAGATGGACAGGCAGATGGGTGGATGGATGGATGGATTGATGGGTGCAGGAATGAAGTGACAGATGAGTACGGAGAGACACTGGGAGGGATGGAGGATGGATGGATGGATGGATGGATAGATGGATGGATGGATGGATGGAATGACAGACAAACAGATATGCATGAGAGATGCATGTACGAATGGACAGCTGGACAGACGGATGAGCGGAAAAACAGGCAGACAAATAGATCCACACTGGGGTGGGTGGAAGGATGGGGAGATAGAGGGATGGACGGGTGGAAGGATGGAGAGATGAAGGATGGATGGATGGAGGGATGGAAGGATGGAGGGATGGATGGATTGATGGAAGGATGGATGGAGGGATGGAGGGATGGAAGGGTGGAATGACACACAAATGGATAAGCAGTGAGATAGATGCATGGATGAACGGACAGCTGGATAGATGGATGAATGGAACAACAGGCAGATAAACAGATACACACCGGGGTGGATGGAAGGATGGGGAGATGGAGGGATGGATGGATGGATGGAAGGATGGAAGGATGGAGAGATGGAGGGATGGATTGGTGGAGGGACGGATGGAAGGATGGAGGGATGGACAGATGAAAGGTTGGATGGGTGGATGGATGTTCCCGGCTCAATGCCAGCCCCTTACCTGTGTCCTGCCGGAACTGGTGCATGGACTGGAGGTCGATGACGTAGGGCGCCAGCTGGACGTCGACCTGGCCCAGCACCACACTGCCACGGGCGTCCTCCTTCAGCACGTTCTCGATGT